ACCTGTGGTTTCCAGCCAAACAAAAGACAGGCATATGAGTTGAACATTTACCTCAAGTAGATACACTCCTTGGAGAGAACAGTCATGGGAGAAAGAAGGGCTGCTTATGCACAAGGAGACAGCTCAGGGGGCAGGAGTGCATGGAGGGATGGACACTGGGTAGAGGTAATTTGGGGAGGAAGTGGGAGAGGAGCTGTTGCATTGTGGTAAACTGTGATCAATGTCATGAGACAAAGTATATGTGAACTGCTGTATGGAAAGTGAATTTGCTCTGTAAATCACCCAAATCACAATAATAAAAAAAAATTAGTGAAAATACAATGGACTTCCAGAAGAAAAAACAAATCTGTTCTGGACGAAGTGCAGCCAGAATGCTCTTTAGAAGCAAGAATGGCCAGACTTCATTTCATCTACTTTGGTCATGTTGTCAGAAGGGATCAGTTATCTGATACTGATAACCTGGAGAAGGTTATCAGGCTTGGTAAAGTTGAAGGTCAGTGAAAAAGGGGAAGACCCTAAGTGAGATGGATTGACACAGTGGCAGCAACAATGGGCTCAAGCATAGCAAGGATTGTGAGGATGGTGCAGGACCAGGCCATTTTTCATTCTGTTGTACATAGTGTCATTTTGAGTTGGTGGTGCCTTGATGACATCTAACAACAACGAGAAAGATCAGTGAAAGCTGGATGTTACTACATGAACAGATTAAAAAAACAGACAAAAAAAACAAACTCACTGCCGTTGAGTCATTTCCAACTCATAGCAACCCCTCCTTGGGTTCTTAGGCAGTATCTCTACAAAATAAAATTGTCCGAAGATGATCTTCGTTCTGAGGAGTGGCTCGTGGGTTTGAATGAGCAGCCTTCTGGTTAGCTGTCAAATGCCTTTGGCACTGTACCACCAGAGCTCCCCATGAACACATTAGTAAATGTTTTATTATGTGAATTAAATACCTTTATTACTACCATACTCTATCCAGGAAAGGAACATTTATACTTTTAAAAGGGTTAACTAAGCAAAGTGAGAAGCGAATGAGCTGACACCTATCCTCCAGACTAGTCCCAACTCTGGATGTAAAGTTAGCTGTCAGTATTCATCCCATCTCTATGCTTTCTCTCCTCACATCACTGTATTTGATGTTGGGCAGAGTAGGTGGACAGAAGAGACTCAATAAAGTTTACTGGTGCCACTTACCTTGTTGCTGCCCAGCTAGCTTGTTCATCAGGTAGGATTTGCCTGTGCGGTAGAGGCCCACAATAGCCACCACCACCACAGGCTGCTTGATGTCACACAATATCTTCAAAGCTTTCTGGTTAGGAATTAGTTTTTTATTAATGTTCTCAATGAGGCACAATGGGCCTGGCATGTGGATCTCTGAGGCCATGTCCAGAGTGTTACCTTATCTGCAAGGGAAGAGGTGGGATGAATTGAAATTCCAGGCTCTAATTAGATCAAAAGAAGCTCTGGTGGTACAGTGGATAAAGCATTTGTCTGCTAACTAAAAGTTTAGTGGTTCAAACCCACCAGCTACTCTGCAGGAGAAAGATAAAGCAGTGTGCTTCCATAAAGATTTACAGACTTGGAAACCCTATGGAGCAGTTCTACTCTAAGTTACTATAAGTTAGAATTGACTGAATGGAGTGGGTTGATTAGATCAAGAACTTTTGCCAGTATCTATTGCTTTCAGAGGAGGGACTCATAAAATTCCCTAACATGGGCAACAATTTTGTTTTCAGCAGTGACAAAGATGTATCATTTTAGAAAATTATGTATTATAGAATTAGTCTATTGATAAATATAATGGTATGATGGTGATTTATCAACATTCAGTCACTCTCATGACCAAAACTTTTCATCTGATTTTTTTGTTGATACTCATTTTCTTTTTGATACTCATATAACATTTACACAAAATTTAGTAGATATTAAATGGAAAATAGAATAGAATTTAGAAAAATTTACATGCTTGGCTATATGTAAGAAATTTAGTATTTATCTATTCATTAATTAAAATTGAACAGATTTACTTTTTGTTGATGTTCTGTGGATTTTAATTGCTAAACCTTTGTTTTTTACTACAATGAACTAGTAGTCTGATTGTGAGATAAAATTAACTCACAAACAATACCTATGATGACATGTAATATATATACCCGCTGCCGTCGAGTCAGGTCTGACTCATAGTGACCCCTCCTTGGGTTTCCGAGGCGATACCACTACAGAAGTAGATTGCTCAACCTTCCTTCCAGGGAGTGGCTGGTGAGTTTGAACCCACCAGCCTTCTGGTTAGCAGTCAGATGCCTTAGGCACTATGCCACCAGAGATCCCTGTAATACACATAATAATATATAATATTTAAGAGAATCTCTTACATAATACTGCCTTATCAGGATTTTCTTATTTTTCTATTTTTGAGTTGCAGTCCCTGGACCCTAATGATGTGAAATCCAAGACCCTTTAAACCTGTCCTATTGGTTCTTAGTTTTTCTTGTACAACAGATTCCCATATCCAGCATGCCAACTGAGGCCAGCTTTCTTGAATTTGACTCTTACTACATTTTTAAAATTTTTAACTAATTATTTTCTCATGCGTTGACCCCTATCCCCCAATGTGTTTCTAGACTGATTTTCCATTACCTCCAACATTTGGTAATTTAGATTTTGCTTTAACCTCATATAATTTGCTTATTTCATATTGTGATTCTATGTTCAGGCAAGACATAATGCTTTGTCTCCTGAAAGGTGGTCTTGAAGCATTCTCTCATGAATCATGGTTCTTTTCTTCTCTGAATCTGCTTTTTGAAGACTATTTGTACATAATTATATATGTGAATTTTTAATAGATTTTATTAGCATCATAATAAATGTATAGTATAAGAAATGTGTAAGAACTTCCCTTAATGATTCCTTATCTTTGAGTTTTTAACTTTTGAGTCAACCTCTGGTGGCAAAGTGCCTAAGGCATTTGACTGCTAACCAGAAGGCTGGTAGTTCAAACCCACCAGCCACTCCTTGTAAGGAAGATTGGACATCTACTTCCGTAGATATACTACCATGGAAACCTAAGGAGGGGTCGCTATAAATTGGGACCAACTTGATGGCAGTGAGTTTGTTTTTTGTTTTCTATAACCTGAATTGACCCTGATATGACACATTAGCTCTTTGAGATTTGCACATGATTACTCTTAAGTATTCTTATTTTCTCTCTTACCCTACAGTGAAAATTAACTTGCAAAGAATTATGCTTTGGGCCAAGATGAAGGAACAGAAACTGGATTCATCTTCCATGGGAAACAACCAAAATATAGACAAATATTTTAAACAATGATTTTCAAGACATTAGATATCCAGTAAGATGCTGCATACAATAATATAAGTCAGACTACTGACTTGAGAGATTTTCCAGACCTGACTAGGTTGTATCCCAGAGTACCTCCTAAGTTGAAAAGATGGAGATGAAAGGCCAAGGAGATCAAAGCAGCTGGAAGTTACAGGACAAAGTATCAGAAAGGAGAAAAGTCCACAAGAGAGAACTCTAGAGAACTTCAGAAATCTCCTTGGGAATTAGCTAAGATCAGTGCATATATGTGAGGAAACTGCCCAAAGTTGGTGAAAGAAATGATTAGTGAATTTGAAAACATTTCAAAATAAAATGCAAAGAGAAAAGACAGTCAAAAAAACAAATGGAACATGAGTGAAAAGTAGAATATTTTAAGGTAGTTCAATACATGGATATTTGGATACTCCAAAGGAGGGCTCCACAGAAAGACTGAAGAAATAATAGATGAAATGTTCTGGATTCGATGAAAATATAAACTCACAGATTCACGAAGCTCAACAAACTCCACATACAAGAAACATAAAGAAAATAATGCCAAAGCACATCATTATCAAATTGGTCAAATCCAGTGATAAAGAGCAAATCTTATGAGTTGCTAGAAGAAAATGACAGGTAAGTACAGATAAGGATGACATCATGCTTCTTATCAGAAGCAAGGTCAGCAAGAAGAAGTTGGAACATCTTTAAAGTATTGTAAGAAATGAATGTTAATCTAGAATGCTATAGATTATTATTTCAAGAGAAAAATGAATATTTTTCAAAGTGAAGAAAAAACTATAGATATTTCAGACATACAACAGCTGAAAGATTACATCAACAGAAGAACTACACTACAAGAAATGTTAAAGGAAATCTTTCAGGGAGAAGAAGAATATCAACAAATTGAAATCTGTGTCTACCCTAAGTATCAAAGTTCATCAGAAATGATGTAATGAACAATTGCATGCTAGTAAGTTCTATGACTTAGATGAAATGGAAAAATTCATGGAAAGACACAAATTAGTGAAGATCATTCAAGATGCAATAGATAATCTGAATAACCTATATCAACTACAAAAATTTAAGTTGTAGTTATAAACCTTTCTAAAAAGAAAAGAAAAGAAAAAAAAAAAAAAAACACTTAAGATTTCGTTGGATAACTCTCCAAATTATTATGGAAGAAATAATACTAGTTCTACAAACCCTTCCAGAAAATCAAAGAGGAGGAAGTACTTCCCAAGTCATTTTATGAGCCACAATTATCTTAATACCCAAACCAGACAATGACAATTCAGTAAAACAATACAAAGACCAAAATCCCTCATAAACATAGATATCATTTAAATAAATTTAAAATATGAGATACTTAGGAATAAACCTGACCAAAAATGTGTAAGACCTGTACATTGAGATGAAATAAATTACTGAGATAAATAAAGGCCAAAATAAATAGAGAGAGATACGGTGCTGGTCAGAAACCCTACCCTGGAATATGTCAATTCTCCCTGATTTGATCTATAACTTCAGTTCAGTCCCAATCATACAATTCTTTGTAGAAATTGAAAAGCTGAAACTAATACGGTTATGGGAATACAAAGGACTAGTAATATTTGGATAAACATTACCTGATTGCAAGGTTTATTATACAGCTACCATAATCAATACAGTGCTATATTGCCATCAAGGTCAATAAATAGATTCCTAAAACAGAATAGATAATATAGTAATAGACTCACACATATATGTAAACCTAACTTTTGACAAAATCTCTAAGACAATTCACTGGAGAAAGGATATTTTTTCAATCAATGGTGCTAGAATAATTGACTACCTATATGCAAAAGGGAGAGAGAGAGAGAACTTCAATCCATACTTTGAAACATATTAAAAACTAAACAAATTTTATCAGAGACATAGTTGTCAAACCTAAAACTATAAAACTTTTAGAAGAAAACATGAGAAAACCTTTGTGATATTAGGCTAGGCAAAGATCTCTTAGATATGACACTGAAAGCATGACCCAGTGTTATGGAGTGAATGGTATCCAAGAGATGTGTTGATGTCCCAATCCCTGTGAATGTAACCTTGTTTGGGAGCAGGGTTTTTCTCTAAGCATATAATCATGTAAGTAAATGAGGCCATACCAGAGTAGGTTAGGTCCTAATTGTTTAGAGTGGTGTCTTATAAAAGGAGAGAACAGAAGCAGAGATGGAGTCACATAGGAGGAAGACAGACACCATGTATGTAAAAGCCAAGAACACCATGAAATGGCCTGAGTTACTGGAAGCCACAAAGAGACAAGAATCTTCCTCTAGAGACTTCAGGTAGAACATGGCTTGGTGTACAGGTTGATGTAGACGTCTAACCTTTGGAACTATGGGATAATAAATTTCTGTCCTTTATAAGCCACTCAGTTTGTCATATTTTGTTATGGCAGCCTTAGAAAAGTAATACACCCATAAAAAACAAATTGATAATTTGGACTTCATCAAAATTTGAAACTTCTGCTCTTCAACAGACACTGTCATATATTTTTGAAAGTAATTTTATCCAGAATGTATAAAGAATCTCAAAATCTTACAAGAAAACAAACCCAATTAAAAGGAAAAAGCAAAAGATTTAAATAGACACTTCTCCAAAGAAGATACTCAGATGGCCAATAAGCATACAAAAAGATGCTTAACATCATTAGTCATTAATGCAAATATGCTTCTAGGTGTTCTGTTTTTTTGGGGAGGAAGAAGGGGCTGACAAAGGAGAGAGCCTTAGATGAGTGAAGCTGGTGCCAGCCAAGAAATTCAGGAGCAGAGTTTCCAGAAATCTAGGGGAAGTCAGAGTGTGCAAAGTGATGCACAAAATAGATTCTTTAAAGGGGAAGCTTTTCAATAAAGTAGTAGGGAAGAATTCTACTTGTAAGTGCTTAAGGAATGAGCAGGCAGAAATAAACCCACTTTCAAAGTACAAGCATGATTAAAAAATGCTGTTTTTATGAATCTTATTCATCTTTTACTGTCAGTTTCATTTTTCTCTTTCTTTGTCAGTGGGCTGTTTACCCTGCATCTGATTTTCTGTTCTTTTTTCCTTTTGAAAATAATGCA